ATATTAATGCATAATACTTGGATATTAATTTTAAACAACAACTACCCTATTTACTTGATTTGAAGATTATAAATTTCTTACTCCATATTTTTATTATACTGATTCTATTTTTTATTTGTTTTCTTTATTCAAATTTAATAGTTCAAGTTATATCTACATTTCCATATCGTTTATATTTTAAAGATCCTCCTATCATAATATTATCACAAATCTATACCTGAAGAAATTCTTAAATATGGTTTTACTCATCTTAAACACTACTTGCTTGTTTATGTATTTATTTATTTGTTATTCTAATATTTTATGGAGGCTTTCTAGGAGGATTTTAATGAGAAGTAATATTATTGTTATTTTAATTAGTATCAACAGTATTTTATTATAATTGCTGTTAAATTTACATTTATTAAGCTAGTAATTGTTATTCTTTTTACTATAAAATCTTCATTTGCTCTGTATTTTTATTTGGAGTACTTTTTTTGGGTACAGATGAAGAGGCTTGCTTTTATTTAGCATTTGATGATTCTTATTATAATTTTTATGAAGTTTGCTCTCTTTTATCTCTATCTGTCCCTTATTTTTAACTCATTTTAGATAAGACATCATCAGCTTAAGTTATAGCCTATTCAGCCCATTAAGTAGGTTTAGATAAAGGAGGCTTTGAGTTTTATTTAGCTAATTATCCATTTTTCATAGTGTTCTTCCACAAATCTTCCTCTTCATCACTACATTCTTCTGGTAATCCTAATAATTGTTTTAAATCATTCTTTTTTTAATTAGGAGTTGGTTTTTATTTTTAAGCCATACTTAAGTCAAGACTATCTAAAAGTTCACTTTTCCTCATGACTTCAAAATCTTCCCATTATTTTTAAAATTCTTAAGGTAATTTTTTGTTCTTAGCAACTTGAGATACTTCTAGATCAAGTGCTTCGAAATTATTGTAATTTGTTTATACTTTTTTTTCTAATTGAGGTTTTGGATTTTATTTAGGATAATCAGTTTATCTAGGTTAATAGTCTGCTAATATTTATTTAGTATTGTTTCTTAAATAATTAATATAAGCCTATTCTTTAGTTTTCTTTCTTTGATCAAGTAATGCAGCTGCTTATTTTTGTTTTTCTTCTTCTTGTAATTTAAGTTTCTTTTCTTATTCCTTTCTTCTTTTATTATTTTCTATCATTAATTAACGATGTTTTTCTTCATTCTATTGCATTTTATTTAATATATCTTCTTTTGTTTTTACATCAGTGGTTGTACTCTATTCATATTTATAAATTTGATACCTTTTTACTTGATTATTAACTTACAATAGATTTAGTATCATTTTATTTCTTATTATTGTATTTATTTAAGTACCCTGCTGTTGACATTTAAAGTATAATAACTGTTTATTTATAATAATAATATTAGTTGATTCAATCATTAGCAAATAATCTTAGAAAGTCTTAACCCAATGAAGTTTGAAATGGTACCTTAACTGGTTAATTACTCTAGTTCTTATTTAAAGCTGATCTAGCATTATATTTAATAACTATTTATTCTTCTTTGGCTCTGAATCCATGAGCAGAAGTAATTTGATTGTTCATAGGAGAGTATTAAACAATTTAGAATCCCATTCCATTATGCTTTAAATTAGCAGATTAAGGATGCTTTTATTCTGATACTTATTTTTCTTTTTTAAAAAGAATTACTTACTTCCTTCATCAGTTCGATATCCATCTCTTTAATGAAATTTATTTAAATTAACTTGATTATTCATCATCTTGACGAACCCTAAATCGAAATCATCAAATTCATCATTATTATTCTTAATAATTCCTACATTATTATTTTGGTTGGCTTAAATAATATTAACAAATATTACATATTTCATCAATATGAGCATACATATTTTTAATAGGAATTTCGATACCATCCCTATCAGAATTTTAATTGCCTGATTGAATAGGTAATTCTAATCCAGTTGCCTTTGGAGGTGTTTTATGTCTTGAAGGAGGTCTTTCATTGTTGTCAAAATTTTCAATTTAAATTTACTCTGTCTACTTTCTTCTTTGTCCAGAACGTATTGAGAGCAATTCCTTTATAATAAAATAAAACAAAATTCATACTTTAGGTGAATTCAATTAATTCAAGTTTATAGGTATAATTTCTAAATTGTCTTAATAATCCTCTTAGATAATATTAGGTTCATAATTTAAGAGAATAAAATCTGATTGCTTTGTTTCGAAAGCATGTTTTGAATCATTTTTATCTGAATTCATAAATCTTTTTCTTCTTGCACCTTCGGATGTTTATGGTCTATTAAGACAAGCTGTAGCTTTTCTTATGCTTGCAATTGGTTCTTCATTTTATTTCTATACATAAGAGGCATTCTTTTGAATTTCTTTTTCTTCTTATTGTTATGTAGGTAATTAAAGGTTTTAATGCTCATCACTATCAGTTACATTTGATTTATTTGAGTAATCATCATTATTGTTCATATCTACTATTTCAACCTCTTCTTGTTCTCTAGGAGTGAATTATTCATTATCGGAATTATCAACAACAACTAAATTCTCACAATTTAACTTAGGTTCCAAAGTATTCATTTATTGAGTTTATGGTCTACTCTGTTATTACTCAGAACAACGAAAAGGTCTTGAAATTTGTTAAGTGAATGTTCTAGAAGGCTTAAATGAACCTCTCCCACTCTTTGAACCATCATCATAACGCTTTTCAAGACTTCTTTTTTTAACAGTGCTTTAAAATTGACTTACATAAATTTTTGAAATCTGCTAGATATTATTTTATTAACTTTTTGGCTGTGATCTATGTTACTGAAAATACTACTCACATAGTTTTTAAGTATGGATTAGGAACATTATGTACAACAGTAATCAAAGGTTGTTAATATGGACTTTTAAAAGGCATTTTTTCTTTACGAGATTAATGTGGTGCAGTTCCTCCTCGCTTAAGGTTTTCACTAAACTGAATTACCAATCAATTAAAGTACCCTTAATTAGTAAACCAACTCAAATAAAATGGCTGTTATTATTGATCTTTCTAACTTTTTGGTTTAAACATATTATAATTTATCAAACAATTATAAGAAACATATTATAATAAATCTAACCTTTTTCTTCTATGTTCTATCATTATTAATTTAATTTTTTATGATCCTTATATGTTATACAAAGGAACTTGTTAATCTATTATGATTTTATAATTTATTATTAAAAACCACATTAAAAATGGATTCTAATCTTTAAAATAATTACTATAATTCATCAAAATAAAAAATTAATTGTAATTTGAAAATTGTTTTAACATTTCATAGTTAATATCTTATCATATTATATTAATTATAATGTATTAGGATCCAGTTCAAATTGTCATTTAAAAATTGAAAATAACTTAATTATATTTTAATAATGACCGAAGTATGCGTACCTGGTTAAACAGGCTTTTTTCATACATGTGGGTAATTTAGTTAATGTGAATTGAATGCAGCAACATTAAAATATTCATGTTTGCATGATTCTCCCTTTACACCAAAAGCAGGAATAATTATATCATATATACTTACACCAATATTGATTGGAATTGGAATTTTAGGAGGGATGGGAGGTATAAATCTTATAAATTTTTAGGTGGAGTATTGAAAGGACCACTTTTGGAAATGATTCTAAATTATTCTTAAAGTGAAGCAACTCATATTGCATATTGTCTTATGTTTGGAGGTACCCTTCTTAACACAGTTCTATTAATGTTTGAAAAGTATAAACCTTAAATACAATAGAAATCCAGAAGATGAAAGAAGACCTATTATAAATTACAGAATTGCAATAATCTTTAATCTTGCAGTTCCATTTGCCACTAATCTTGGTTCATCTTTAGCATCATTTCTACCATAATTATACACTCTTATTCTACAAGAGCTGTTTCTATTCGGAGTTGCTCCTATTCTATGGTAAAAAGGTATTATATAGAATAATTGTGTCAATTAGCTAAAAATGCGAAAGAAGCAGAACTCAAAATTAGTGATGACTCTTAAAAAGATAACACTACAAATTTAAATGACTCAAATCTTAATACTAAAATTGAGTTACAGACTATGGAAGGGATGCAAGAACAATAAGATTATTAAATTCCAGATAGTAAAAAGATGTCTATAATTTCTAATACAAGTTTAAATGAATCTCTATATTCATAATTTAAATAGGATTCAGAGAATATATTGCCACCTATGCCAATTGTCTTTATTCTAGGTTCATTTGGATTAAATTAAGTAAGAGATAAGTTTTATATATTAGATATTTATATAAATGAGATCTACAAATCCCAAGAAACCCTCATATGTTGGGATAGAAGATTGCACTTGGGAAAATGATTTTATAATTTTCATATTGATAGTTGCCAATGTCATTTATGATTATTTTATTTGGTAATTTGGAACAAACTAAGAGAAACAATATAATTAAATTAACTTTTTACCCAAAGAAAGATATTTTACTCCAATTAGTAGATTTTTCAAAATATATGCTGGTGGATTTATGGCAGGATTTGTATCAGGGTTTTTAGGAATGGGAGCTGGTTTTGTAATGGTTCCTACTTTGCTATATAGTGGCTTGATTCCTAGATGTGCTTCAGCTACATCAGCTTTTATTTATTTAATGATTTCATTAAATAATTTAATTACACTACTCACCAATCATTATCTAGACTGGCAAACTATTATTTTATTTACTGGATTAGCTGTATTAATAATATATCATTATTAAGATTATAGGAGGATCAGTTTTTGCTAAAATTGGCTATATATTATTAGGAAAATACAAAATTGGATATTTTGTAATACTGATTGTTTTTGCTCTAGACATAGCCAATATTATTTCTTAAATATATTATGGAGTTGTTTTTGGTAAAAGGTATGGGTTAGACTATTTAACTCATGCTAATAAATAGTGTTAGTGATTATGTTATTCATCATGTCAAAATAAATAGAATTTTATTACAAAATATACTCAAAAAAAAATTTGGTTTGGCCTCTTTAATCTTTTATTGATTTCTGATTATTAAGACAAACGTGAAGTATGATCCATAAATCCAGAATATGGTCTAAAAACTTGTTATGATGATTTTGCCATAGTTGATCTTGATTAAGGAGTATCGCATTTAGGTGTATCCATAACAGATGAATATCTAGGAGTAACATTTGTATGGTAGCCTAATTAAGGTTATGATTATGTTCTTGGTGTAGGATAGATGGTAGTCATTGTTTTGTTTTTTTCAAGTTGCTTCTGAGTACTAACATTGATTTCGCTCTCTTTTGTAGACACTAAAGCATTTATTGAAAGTAAAGGATCTGCTTTTCCAAAGGCAGCACTTGTAGCTCTTTTTGGTTTTAATTAATTATGAGTGTGTTCTATTAATTTCATTGCTGAAATTACTCTTGATCTTTGAATAGCTTCCTAATTTTAAGGAGCTATTCTTAAAGGAGGCTTTACTAATCCAATCCTTATAAGATTTGAATAATATTTTTTTAGAAACCCTTCTGTGTTTACATTTGAGGCAAAATTATATGGATTTTCAACTTTTTCCAATAATTTCATTTAAGGTACATCACTCTATTTTGTCTATTATACAAATTCATTTATTGTAATTTTTTTCCCTGTTTTTTTAAACTTTTTATTATACTTTTCTTTTAAATTATTATTAAACTTTAATACTCTACTATGTTTAGGTACCTAATTTATTATAGAATTTATACTTGATATTATTAAAATATTATATCTACTTTATCATAAGCCTTTATTGAGTCTTTTGTTAGTATCAAAGTTGATTTAGATTTCTTGATTTCATTAGTTGGTGAAGTATTAAATTTTTGTTTTTCAATTGGTTTGCTTCCTACAAGTAATCTTATTACTTATTTCTCTAAAAATAAATGATCAATTTATACACTTATGTTAAGTAATGATTTGCCTGATAATAGCATTTGGAAATAAACGTGAAAAGATCTTTAGTTTGATTCTATATAATAAAACTTATGCTGAATTAGCAATCACAGTATAGTAATAAGTTTATAGACTATTTTAATCTTGATCAGGATCAATTAATAATTCATCTCCAATAATTCCACTTTCTTCCATATTAAATATATGTTCTTTGTTTTTTTGAAATGATACATGGCCTTATGCTAAAAAAAAGAGATATTCCCCAATCTGATTTTCCCTTAAATAAAATAAACTTATTCTATTACTCTGTAATTATGGTGCAATTTGGTAGGATAATATTTTCAAATTGATTGGCAAGAGACTCTAATATTCTTTTAGAATTTAATTCTCCCAAACCTGGTATTATTTTACATAAAGTTCTATGTTTAAACAAAAATATCTCTCCATAATATTTAAAAATTTCATCACATTCTTTTTTATTAATAGTTAATAATATTGAATTATTGATTGAAGCTTTATATAATAGTTGGTTTTGCTGATATTTTATTTTGTCAAATTAAAAATCTTCTTCTATATAAAATAGTGGATCTAAAGTTGTGAGATATTTTTCATGCTAATAGATATATCCCTCTTCCAAAAAATAAACTTCAACTTATCCTTTTAGAATAAGTTATAAAGCAGAATTTTAACTTGGTTACACTTACTAATCAAGTTAATAATTTGTAATTTCTAAATAATTGCAGAGCTAATCAAATCATATCAATTTACTTTGATTTACCCTTCTTATGATAGTTGTTGATGATAAAGTTCATTCAATTTGTTGAAAATTTATGTAACTTTTATTATTGATGCTATCGTCTTATCATATATATTAAAAGTACTTTAAGATCCTCATATGTTTTTGGATAGCTTAATATTTTTTATTGTAACAACACTAAATTATCATTCTAAATAATTTATTCCATTAAAAATAATAAAATTTATGAATAATATTTCATTTATTTGATAATTTCTACTAATCTATAAAACCTTTCGATCGATGACTTTCTGCATGTAAACTCTTTCTTTTTGAGTTCTGTTCTAATATAGAAATTTAGGATTTCTTTTTAAAATTTTATTAAGTTTTTCAGGTAATCCTGTTACTTAGTTAATAGTTTATTTCATTTAAATAAAATCTTAAGGAATTTCTAAATATATTTTCAAATAACTTTTTCACTATATCATTTTTTAAATAAAGCTGCTATTAATGAAGTTCTATTTGTTTATTCCTACAGAATAACTTCTATTTCGACTTTTTATTAATTAATAAAAATATTACTTTGATTATAGGGGTCTCTAAGACAATAATCTCTATGAATCCTTATATTTTAATAATTGATTTAAACTATTGTTTTGAGTCTATTGCTATTTATTTATTTAACTATTATTAAATAGCTCTTATTTCTCTAAATTATTTCTTAAATGATTTGAATTAGATGGCTATTTTTATAAAATTTAGTTGATAGTTTATCTACTATCCCTTCTAGAATTTTATACAGTTTATTATTTATAGATTTTTGTAAAATACTTCAACTGCTAAATTAAATAATAATTATCTTTTTTGAGTTTCTAAGTTAAATTCATATTTTACTTAAATTATTTTAGTTGTTTCTCTAAGATATTCATTTCTAATTTATTCTGATTCTTCTAATTATTATTAAATTGTATCAATATATATTTTCATCTCATGCTATGTCTAACTAAATCTATATATCATATGATCATACTCTAATGTGAATTCTTATTTCTTATTCTTATTTTTGAATTGCTTATTCTAATTTTTAATAGTTCTCAGGTTTTGATTCACATCTGAAAAATTTCTAATAATTATTAGTTGCTTAAAATTTTGTTTTCAGCTTACAGAAGATAGATTTCATTGTTTCTGCTAACTGAAACAAATTCTCATAATCTTGCAATTGATTTTATATAAGTTGCAACTCTTCTTCTGATCTTATATTCTATTCAAGTAATTACAGCATCTTTATTTACACTCAAAACTAATACATCTTACAAGATTTCTTTTAAAATGCTTTTGAGAATGTAATCAGTACTATTATTTGTTAACATATTTAATCAAAATTGGAAATTTAATAAAATTTAATATTTAATAAGTTTTTATTTTTATATTAATGTTAGCTGATTTTTTTTTACTGAAAATTAAAGAAAGTTACTGCTTCCTAATCTTAGAATTTTACTTTGAATTCTGCTTTTATAGAAATAACAAGAATTTGCCATACATTTATATTAGAATTTTCAATATTCAATTATTCTTGACTTATTATAAGTATTTTACGATTTTATATAAATTAATTATGATAATTCTATTGTAAGAGAAGATCTAAAATTATTTAAAATTAAGTATAACTTTGAGAAATTCCCTTTTTAAGACATATTTCTACTATTAATCAAATAACTGTCTTGTCTCAATAATATGTTCAATAATAAATGAAATATAAATTAAAAAATACTCTCTTGAAAATTACATTAAAAAACTTATTTTTTTATTAACTAAAAAATCTTAAATTATACATAGAATTTAACTTAATTTTTATATGATATTAAAATTTCAGATCTCTTTCTCTCATTATTTCAATTATTATATAATCATTTAGCTTCTCAAAGGATCAAAATATGTATTTAATAGAGAAGGGAAATAATAATCTACAATTTTAGTTTGAGTTTTTTTATCTGCCCACACCAATCCTTCCCTTTATAATACTTGAATTTTTTGATAAAACCTTTCCTTTGTCCACCCTTTCTTTTCTTGCATTATTTTTTCATTCACAAATCTTTCTTCTTCTGCTACTTCTAATAGCAAATTAAAATCAGGACTCATCTCTATTGGAACAGTGTAAACATATTTATTGTGAATGTGGCAACCTCCCAAAGATGATACAGTATTAATTGCTCTTTCAATATCTGATTTAGAAACTTTCATTCCATAAACTTTCCTGAATTCATCAATAATGTCAGTGATTTTAGTAATTCCTCCATAAATGGAATATTTTTTAGCACAAATATCTAGAATTTTAATCTTTTCATATTATGAATAATTTACAGCTAACTCATTATAAAAATCTCCAAAACCTAAATCACTCCAAATAGTCTTTTTAGACATCATTGGATTGACATCCATTTTATCGCATAATTCATTAAACTTTTCTCTAAAATCAGGATTCTTTTGGATTTCATCTCTGTATTTTCCTGCAAATTGATGCAAATTTTTTTAAAAAACATCATATATCAATGTTAACTATTCTACTTATTTAGCTTAGCTTTTTTATAATTATCCTAGTTTATTTTCTTTTGTTTCCTTTTCTGCAGCTCTTTATTTTTTTCCTGTATAAATCATAAATAATATTTTTATATTTATAAATATATTGTCTGGATATAAATTCTAAAATTTCCAATGTATAGAATGCTAAATTCTGTTAATATTATTTAGAATTTAATAAATTTAACATTTGCTATCAAGGCTAAGAAATTTTATCTAAATTATCATTCAAAATATCAAAATTTTGTAGTAAACTTTCTATTAAAATTCATGCCCAGATTATTTTTGTTAATTTTAAAAGAACCAAGTTATTTTTAAATGAATAAATATTTGGCAATTTAGAAAATAATAATAGCTATCTATGCATATATCATTTTTTTTGTTCAAATTAGGACTTTAAGCAAAAAAATTTCACTTTCTCTCATGCTCTATTATTTATAATTTAAAGTTTCTAAAGTTCAATTAAATGAGTTACTGCTCCTTTTAAATTTAATAAACTATTCATGTAAAATAAATTATTTGTTAAAACAATCGTTCTTGAATTTAATATGATAATAAAAGATTAAATCAATTAAAAATGTATTTATAATAAAATAAAGGATTGAAGATTTATAAAGGGTTCAATTTTATGATACGAATCTTTAAAAATTCTGTCTAAAATATTTAATATTATGATATATGAAATATATATGATCAAAACATACAACTTTCATATGTTGGTATCATATATTTAATATTAATATATGCATCTTCTCCTCCATTTTTTTCAAGTGTTTCTAATGTTTCTTATATAAGATCAGATAGATTTTCATTTTTTCTTTATGAATAATCAATTTTATCTCCAATATTTACTATAATAATAATAATATAAATACATCTTTTATTTTTATACATATTCATAACTGGTAATATTTATCTATAATAAGGTACTAATGCTTCCCCTATCATTTAACCACTTTTGACTAATTTCTATATTTTCTTTAATGTAATACACATAATATCATGATTCTTTGTTGCTAATGCTTCTATTTAATATATATATATATTATATTTACTTTTAATAGGAATAATCAATTATGGTAATACAGATAATATCTTAGTTTCACCTTTTTATAATAATTCTTCACATCCATTGACAGCTAAGAATTTATAAGGATCTTCAACTTCTCTTAATCCTTCAAAGAATATTGGAAGATATAAATGATAATCTAAACATTCAGGTTCACATTTCCATACAATCTTTCTAACTGCTCCACTAAAATTAACAGCAATTGGAAGATCTCCACGATCATAATATTTTTTAAATAAAGTCTATTCAATCATAGGTAAAGCTTAAAAGATTCCTGATTTTGGTACTTTTTATGGAGCTTAACTTTTCTTAGGAGCTAATGATGAACACACTATTAAAAATGTTATATAACTTATATATTATTACTTCCACCTGTCCCTGCAAATTTATTACTAATATTCAATAAATTTGAACAGAATTTACCTGGTGATCTTTATGGAGAATGTCCTTTTATTCTTTTATTTGTTTATTATTATTGTAGCATACTTATCTAAATTTTATATTTAATTAATTTTCCAACCTGATGATGCATGTGCTCATGTTTTTTGATAATAATTCAACATACTTAAACTAATGAATTATTTAACTTTCCTCTAAGCTTCACTGCTGAATTTAACTTAATTGGAAGCATCTAAATACCTCTTTTTAGATTGACATGATATTTCAACAACTTCTAAAATATTATAGAGATCTTCAACTGTAAACNTATATGATCAAAACATACAACTTTCATATGTTGGTATCATATATTTAATATTAATATATGCATCTTCTCCTCCATTTTTTTCAAGTGTTTCTAATGTTTCTTATATAAGATCAGATAGATTTTCATTTTTTCTTTATGAATAATCAATTTTATCTCCAATATTTACTATAATAATAATAATATAAATACATCTTTTATTTTTATACATATTCATAACTGGTAATATTTATCTATAATAAGGTACTAATGCTTCTCCTATCATTTAACCACTTTTGACTAATTTCTATATTTTCTTTAATGTAATACACATAATATCATGATTCTTTGTTGCTAATGCTTCTATTTAATATATATATATATTATATTTACTTTTAATAGGAATAATCAATTATGGTAATACAGATAATATCTTAGTTTCACCTTTTTATAATAATTCTTCACATCCATTGACAGCTAAGAATTTATAAGGATCTTCAACTTCTCTTAATCCTTCAAAGAATATTGGAAGATATAAATGATAATCTAAACATTCAGGTTCACATTTCCATACAATCTTTCTAACTGCTCCACTAAAATTAACAGCAATTGGAAGATCTCCACGATCATAATATTTTTTAAATAAAGTCTATTCAATCATAGGTAAAGCTTAAAAGATTCCTGATTTTGGTACTTTTTATGGAGCTTAACTTTTCTTAGGAGCTAATGATGAACACACTATTAAAAATGTTATATAACTTATATATTATTACTTCCACCTGTCCCTGCAAATTTATTACTAATATTCAATAAATTTGAACAGAATTTACCTGGTGATCTTTATGGAGAATGTCCTTTTATTCTTTTATTTGTTTATTATTATTGTAGCATACTTATCTAAATTTTATATTTAATTAATTTTCCAACCTGATGATGCATGTGCTCATGTTTTTTGATAATAATTCAACATACTTAAACTAATGAATTATTTAACTTTCCTCTAAGCTTCACTGCTGAATTTAACTTAATTGGAAGCATCTAAATACCTCTTTTTAGATTGACATGATATTTCAACAACTTCTAAAATATTATAGAGATCTTCAACTGTAAACTATTTAGTTCAACTAAAATGGTTAGAGAAGTTGTAATAAATAATTTTTTTTAAGTATTTTAAANTATATGATCAAAACATACAACTTTCATATGTTGGTATCATATATTTAATATTAATATATGCATCTTCTCCTCCATTTTTTTCAAGTGTTTCTAATGTTTCTTATATAAGATCAGATAGATTTTCATTTTTTCTTTATGAATAATCAATTTTATCTCCAATATTTACTATAATAATAATAATATAAATACATCTTTTATTTTTATACATATTCATAACTGGTAATATTTATCTATAATAAGGTACTAATGCTTCTCCTATCATTTAACCACTTTTGACTAATTTCTATATTTTCTTTAATGTAATACACATAATATCATGATTCTTTGTTGCTAATGCTTCTATTTAATATATATATATATTATATTTACTTTTAATAGGAATAATCAATTATGGTAATACAGATAATATCTTAGTTTCACCTTTTTATAATAATTCTTCACATCCATTGACAGCTAAGAATTTATAAGGATCTTCAACTTCTCTTAATCCTTCAAAGAATATTGGAAGATATAAATGATAATCTAAACATTCAGGTTCACATTTCCATACAATCTTTCTAACTGCTCCACTAAAATTAACAGCAATTGGAAGATCTCCACGATCATAATATTTTTTAAATAAAGTCTATTCAATCATAGGTAAAGCTTAAAAGATTCCTGATTTTGGTACTTTTTATGGAGCTTAACTTTTCTTAGGAGCTAATGATGAACACACTATTAAAAATGTTATATAACTTATATATTATTACTTCCACCTGTCCCTGCAAATTTATTACTAATATTCAATAAATTTGAACAGAATTTACCTGGTGATCTTTATGGAGAATGTCCTTTTATTCTTTTATTTGTTTATTATTATTGTAGCATACTTATCTAAATTTTATATTTAATTAATTATATTATGTTTCATTTATAATATTTCTTTTTAAACTCTCCTCATAAATTAAAAATGCTATCTAGGATTTTAAGGAAAATTTTTCTCTTCATTTTTCAATTATTAATCATTTTTTTAATATTTTCAAAAAATTCAAAACTTTTTAGGTTTAATTTCAAGAAGTCTTGTATTTAAAGTCAAATTATAGCATGAAAAAACTGAATGTATTTGTTTTCAATTTAATTCTTTTTATAATTTAAATCCACAGCATAATTACAATACTTCATATTTCAATTTAATTTTCTTGTTTTTATTATAGTATTTATACACCTAAACTAATTATTGATATAAGTGCATGCAATTATAAAGTAAATATTAAATTTATTTTATAAATATATATTACACTAGTATGGAAGTAAACTTTAATTAACTTGACATCCTTTTAAGATTGATTTAAGAGAGATCTGAGGATGTTCGAGTGATGACAACAATAAATTAATAGGTGCAAACTAATTAAAAGACCATCGATATTGAATTCAATTAAGTTTAACAATCCCTTAGACAAATGGGATTTAAAGTAATAGCTATGAAAAAACATGATAAACCTAGGTAGGATGAAGAAAACAAAATTTTAGAGTATCTTTCAAAAATCAATACACTAAATCTTCCAGAGAGGATGTATATTTATAAATTTTGTTAAACTATAATAAAATTGTTCAAACCAGAGATGCAAATAGTAAGATTTAATTAAAAAGATACAAAAGACCTTCTTTTAATGTTTAAATAATATTTCATGGCCGAGAATAATATTGAAATTTTATAATAAATCCAATAACTTATGATGGATTAAGAATTTAAAGTATTTTATATAATCCATATAGCAGATGACCTCAGCATTAGTCCTAATAAAGATTTTAGTGAACAAATCAAGAGAGGATTTTCATAATTTGATTCAAAGTACATCTGCTATTGTTATATCAAAAATAAAGGCAAAGCTATCTGAACAACAATAACAACAAAAACATATAATTAATGAATAACAAAAATCAACTGAACTCTAAGATCCAGGATCCAATGAAAGCCCTAAAACCAAGCTTTGGATTTAGAGAAAAGGCAGTAAATAAAGAGAATCATCAAGCTCTTTGGTTTATTAAAAGCCTACAATCATTCTCAGATCAGTCTCGATGGTAGATAAATTACTAGTTGCTTAATCTTAGTAATAATCTTATCAATAATAATTGATGTAATAATAGTAATAGATGTATATTAATCCAGAAAGAGAATTAAAATTATAATTAAGAGCACAATAAAAGAAATTAAAAAAGAAGTTGCATTCTAATTATAAAGCAATTATAGATGTGGACTTTGATAATTATTGGGCTATGCACATTATTTTGAAAAAGAAATTCATAAAGCATTCAGACAAATATTGTAATTTATAAATATATATAGTTTTACAAAGAGGTGGATTCTACATATGGAGTTAATTAAAGTTGTTTAATTAATCTATTAGATAAACTATAAACAACTATTAATTAAAAAGAAATGATAGTATTTAGGCAGATAAATTGACAAATGAGTAAATTTAGGAGATACATCGAATATATAATACTACTTGCTAATCACCAAGAAAGCTTCCATAATTGCCAAATGTTTAATTAAAATCATAAAGCCCATAAATCATAAAATAAAATAAGTTTGTCTAAAATTTATCTTTTTTACCATAGCTATAATTTAGAAATTAACAACTTATTTAACAATAATAATAAGCTTATTCGCAAGTTTCATAGAAGCCAATATCATTTTATGATCCAAATAAAGATTTTACTACATCAGCTTAGAGGTCTAATAAATCATTAAATCTATCTTAAGACTAGATTCGCCACAAAAAATCTGAGCATAATTCCGAAATAATTCTCTACAAATGATTGATTGAGTAATTTTAACAATTAATAAATTCTCGTAAATAAATAATTTTAAAATTATTTATGAGATAATAACAAGCTCATATTTAGACTCTCTAAACTATGGCAGCCAGATTAAGCTCAACAATCTCAAATAGAAGATCGGTTTTAAATGAAAGTTAATAAATCTACAATCAATAATTAAATCTTTCAGTTAATCAATCTTTTAACAGTCCAAAATTAATATCTAATCATTAATCATTTATAATTTCATAGCCAACGAATCAAAGTATGAGAGAAACTGTCCAAGGTGTTCGATGTGCTTCACCATCCTTAAGAATATAAACAGAAAAAATAGAAAAAGAGGATAAGAAATAATAATAATTTATTGATGCCACGATGAAATTGTTGGCGCAAAATGAGAAATTAGAAAAATTAATTTGTGAATAAAATGAAATGCTAGCAATTTATAAATAAGATAAATAGGAATTAGAATTAAAAATAAAGAGATTATCCTAAGAAATTATATTTCTGAAAGATGCAAACTCTAAGAGAGTAATGGCTTTAGAAAGGGAGTTAAAGTAGGTTAAAGGAAAATCTTAGCACTAACCGAAAAAATTTCTTCGATGAATTTTAATCATTATAAAATCTTAATTCTATTTATTATTTAATTAGAAACCATCTGATTTTTAATTTTTATTGTTATCAGAGGTTAAATGTTCTTGAATCATGAATCATTGCTTTTTAAGTAATACTTATGTACTAGCCTTCCCAATATTTATTTAGCAGATTAATTTCAACTTAATTTCTCATTTAATGATAAGAATGGAAGATATAGATAACTAACAAGTTTTAAATTAGTGCCAAATATGTAAGAAGTAAAAATCATTCTTTTGATAAATTAGAAATTTTTTTAATATAATAAAATTATTCATATTTAAGGAAAACTATATGTTTTTTATAGATTAAGGACTAGTTAAGTAAAAAAATATTATGGAGAAGTTACTAGACTTTAGTACCAAATATAATGTTAGATATAAAATTTATCAACATAATGATATATATATATCTTAAATAAATTTTATTTAAGGCTTTATTTTATTAGTCTACTAATCTTTGCAAATAGATTTTGATTTCTGAGATACAATATAAGAAGGAAAATAGAAAATTATAAAATTCCTAAAATTTATTTTATTCAAATTAGGGTAAAGAAACTGAAAAATAAAAGCTTTCTTAATTTCTATGATTTTAGCTCAATTTAATCAATCTATTAATCATATAATATTCGCTGCTTATTCTATTATATATATATTTGAATATAAGGAAATGATTTTGAATTTAATTCATTATAAAACTTTCTTTTGAAATGTTATTTATTTGGTATTTAAAAGTATAAGGATTGCTAGAAGCTATATTAGAATAAGTGTATTTGAGCAAATAAAGAATCTCTTTAATTACCAAAAACAAAAAAAAATTATGAAATTTATATATAATTATGCAATTCCAAATCGAATTCTCCAGAAGGAGAATTCGACTGGAAAAGCATGAATTAAGAAAAACAAAAGAAAGCATAATCCAGATTGCCTTCCATTCTCAATCAGTAGTTTTTGTCTTGATGGGATTTCCGTGAATCAGCACTTAGATGTGAAATTGTTTTGTAATGTGTTGTCCCTTTGGGAGGATTTTGACACCCGCAACCTTCTTTGTCACTTACTCTGTCTCGCTGGGAGGAGTTTTGGGAGAATCATTTTTTTTATATAGTTTTTTTGATTTATTATATTGGGATATGTGTTCAGACCATATGGCCTTACCCCAGGTGTAAGACATTTGTAATTCTTGGCAAGCCTAAAAAATGTAAACTTGAGCATAATACTTCTTTTAAAGATTTTTTCTCATACAAAACACGTGTGAGGAACATCACTTTTTCCTTCGGACTTGGACCAACTCTATTAGACTATTGTTTCTTCATTTATAGTTCAACTTAATATTTTAAATCAGCGAGAATGGGCATGAGTTTATGAAATTTAGGTAAATAATAAAGCTTAATATCCTTAGATCAACATACTTTTAACTCTCGATAATACGTCATCCAACAATGTTTTAGTAGGAAATAACACTAATTATTTAGTGTCTTATCATGATCATAAAAATAAAAAATACTTTCTCACCTCAAATTTACTTATCTTTTAAAATCTCCACACTTAAGTCATTAAAAGGTTAGGAATCATGAATAATACAATATGATTATGGAAATAATATGATTAAAACCTACTCTTAAATTACACTATTAGTATTTGTCTCAATATTTAAAGTACAAATCAATTAATCTAAGGCAACCCTTTTAATTTTCTTAATTCTTCAAACAGAGTTATTCGGTTTAAAACACTTTGCTTAACTCTCTTCATAGATTTATATTTGAGAATTATTCCTAATCCTAACATGTCTATACAAATTTATTAGAATATCGACTTTTCTTATTAAATTAGTGAAATAATTATACTTTAAATTATAGTCTATGGATTCAATTTTGATCTAAAAGCATAGAGCTGATTTGGAGGTGAAATTCAGAATATAAATTAAATTAATTGAAACAGTTAATATATATAGATATAAATTATCATAGTTTTGTAATTAATGATTCAAAAGTAATATCTTATTGGTAAAATTATGTCTTGAAATTGTTAGAGTTCTTTTAAGGAATATCTTGATCCTACATTAAATCCATCAAATATGTTGTTAAATATAGTAGTTCTTTATCTAAAGCGTTGTCATAAAATGGTATTATTGGAATACCATTTTCTAATTAAAAGCAAAAAGAGTATGATGCATTATCAATTAATACCATATCTTTTAAATTTCTATTCCCTATAATTCTTAAATCTTTGATATGTAATCCATCTTAAATAACAACACAACTATCTCTGAAAAATCTATGATGAATAAATTTTTTATCAGGATCCAAATAGTTTAGTACCTTTTAGGCATAGCATTCATGTGAAGCTGTAAATACAATTATTTCGTATTTTTATGATAAAAGTTGAAGCATCTCTCTACAATATGGTCTAATATTAATCCCAGCTTCCACAGTTTCTCCTGTAGGAAATTTTATTGTTAAGACTATATCACTTGGATCATCATTTGATTCTTGACAATGGATTAGTGTTTCATCTAAATCAAACACTATACTTTTAGCAACTATTTAAATATTTAAATATATACATTTATTTGGAGGTAAATTTACTATTTTCTATTTTATCTCTTCTAATTTAGGTTTTTAAGCATCTTTACAAAACTATAGGGCATGAAAACTTTATTAAATATGGTCTAAATAAATTTCACAAAAGTATTATTATGTTTTAAGACTATTATTAAATAATTATTTTATTTAGGTTTCAAATTTTTTCTCTTTATGAAAAAATCTAGCAAATGACATATAATATTAAAATTCTTAGAATGGTGCCTATGGTCCTATGCTAATCTTTTATACTGGTGTAAATTTTCTATCCCCTGACAAATTTCTAAGTTTTGATTTCGATTCTCTATGACTTACTAATGATTCTGAAACTATAGAATTTTCCTTTGACCTTTTTTAACCATGCAAGGGAGAATTCATCCTTTTTCTATTGGGTTTCGCATTAACTGAAGTATTAACAGAATGTGAATTCTATTTTTATGGTATGAAATTTGCTCCTCTTGAGATTCTTGTTACATATTTATTTATTGAAGTTTAATTAATTTATAAACTGTTTGATTAAGAGAAAGCTGCATTAACATTCTAATCTTACTCTTGTAAGACTGCTTATGATGCTTATGACAATAAGGTTTATTATGTTGTTGCAAGAGATTAAATTTCTTTAGGTTACGAAACACTTAAAACAATCTATGGACTTTATTGTTAGGTTTGCTACTAATTTTATTAAGAACTTTAATTAAAAAATGATGTGTTTTTGTATTTTGATAGTAATTATTCTAATTTTTAAGTAGCTTCTGCATTTTCTACTTCTTATGTAACTTACTATTGTTATGTTTATTCTTCAATAATTAATTAATGCACTTCTTTTTTACTATTACTTCTCGATTCTCTTGTCAATTTAACTGTCTTTTATTTAATGCCCAAAGACGCAGCACTTTATCCAAATATAGTCCTTTATATTAAAGATGTTTTTTTATTAGTTTTCTTTTCACTTTATTGCTCTTAAATTCTTTAAGATTATAGTGGCTCAGTTGTAGAATTATCACTAAAAATGATAAGAAATTTTACGTTGGCTTTAAAGTCTCATTAGTTCGTTGAGATACTTCTTGTTTTAAATTTGGTATAGGCTAACATAAAGAAGAAGTTACCAGCTAAATTTAATTAAAATTATATAGTACCTTATAACTAGGCTGACCATTTTGGTTTGCTTTGGTAGATTTAGCAGAAGGCACTCTTTTTTGTGAATGTGATTTTTATGAGGATTTTGGTCTCTAATTTACTAAGGCTTATAATAGAGAGCTCGAACTCTATTAATGGTTAAGATTAACTATTGACATATTTGTGCGAAGCATGCCTTTATTTTTCAAATAATATTATCGTTAGAATATATTTATTGTTTAAAATACTTAAAAAAAATTATTTATTACAACTTCTCTAACCATTTTAGTTGAACTAAATAGTTTACAGTTGAAGATCTCTATAATATTTTAGAAGTTGTTGAAATATCATGTCAATCTAAAAAGAGGTATTTAGATGCTTCCAATTAAGTTAAATTCAGCAGTGAAGCTTAGAGGAAAGTTAAATAATTCATTAGTTTAAGTATGTTGAATTATTATCAAAAAACATGAGCACATGCATCATCAGGTTGGAAAATTAATTAAATATAAAATTTAGATAAGTATGCTACAATAATAATAAACAAATAAAAGAATAAAAGGACATTCTCCATAAAGATCACCAGGTAAATTCTGTTCAAATTTATTGAATATTAGTAATAAATTTGCAGGGACAGGTGGAAGTAATAATATATAAGTTATATAACATTTTTAATAGTGTGTTCATCATTAGCTCCTAAGAAAAGTTAAGCTCCATAAAAAGTACCAAAATCAGGAATCTTTTAAGCTTTACCTATGATTGAATAGACTTTATTTAAAAAATATTATGATCGTGGAGATCTTCCAATTGCTGTTAATTTTAGTGGAGCAGTTAGAAAGATTGTATGGAAATGTGAACCTGAATGTTTAGATTATCATTTATATCTTCCAATATTCTTTGAAGGATTAAGAGAAGTTGAAGATCCTTATAAATTCTTAGCTGTCAATGGATGTGAAGAATTATTATAAAAAGGTGAAACTAAGATATTATCTGTATTACCATAATTGATTATTCCTATTAAAAGTAAATATAATATATATATATATTAAATAGAAGCATTAGCAACAAAGAATCATGATATTATGTGTATTACATTAAAGAAAATATAGAAATTAGTCAAAAGTGGTTAAATGATAGGAGAAGCATTAGTACCTTATTATAGATAAATATTACCAGTTATGAATATGTATAAAAATAAAAGATGTATTTATATTATTATTATTATAGTAAATATTGGAGATAAAATTGATTATTCATAAAGAAAAAATGAAAATCTATCTGATCTTATATAAGAAACATTAGAAACACTTGAAAAAAATGGAGGAGAAGATGCATATATTAATATTAAATATATGATACCAACATATGAAAGTTGTATGTTTTGATCATATAATATTTTATATGCAATTTAATACAATATTAATGATAAATTATTGTAAAGTATGTCCCTTTAAAAAATTAAATGAATTATTTATTTAAAAATCTGAAGATATTCCATTGATATTATAAAAAATATTTTAATATATATTTATTCTATAATATGTAAAGAATAAAGACAAAGCAAATTATGTCTCAAAATAGTTGGATTAAAAGAGAATATTGATTTTAAATCACTAGACAAAAACTATTAGAAGAAATTTATGATAGCTTTGGCATTTTGGAAGCCTGAGAGAAACTTAAACTTACATAAATCGAAGACTTTAATGAGAAACAAGTAAAAATTAATTTTCAAATTTTTTAGTAAAGTTTATTTCTAAAAAATCTTAAATTAAATAATTTATGAAATCCTTTATCCTAATAATATCTGCTCTAGTTTTATTATGCAGAAATCAAATTGTTATTTAAAATTTTCCTTTCGTTTTAGAATTAAATAAGGTCAGCATATAGTTTTATAAGAGAATAAAAAATTAAAAAAAAGACTTTATTCCAAAGAACTTATATTATATTTAATATAATTGAAAAAATACAAGATTCAATCATAAATTTTGGAAAATACACATTCATTCATTTAAAATAGGAATATGTTCTTTGATAAGATATAAATATTTAATACTTAAAGCTAAGAGTATTAAATAATAGGAGGATTCATTAATATTTTTAATAGATTATTTTTTATTTTCTTTTTNAATTAATTAAATATAAAATTTAGATAAGTATGCTACAATAATAATAAACAAATAAAAGAATAAAAGGACATTCTCCATAAAGATCACCAGGTAAATTCTGTTCAAATTTATTGAATATTAGTAATAAATTTGCAGGGACAGGTGGAAGTAATAATATATAAGTTATATAACATTTTTAATAGTGTGTTCATCATTAGCTCCTAAGAAAAGTTAAGCTCCATAAAAAGTACCAAAATCAGGAATCTTTTAAGCTTTACCTATGATTGAATAGACTTTATTTAAAAAATATTATGATCGTGGAGATCTTCCAATTGCTGTTAATTTTAGTGGAGCAGTTAGAAAGATTGTATGGAAATGTGAACCTGAATGTTTAGATTATCATTTATATCTTCCAATATTCTTTGAAGGATTAAGAGAAGTTGAAGATCCTTATAAATTCTTAGCTGTCAATGGATGTGAAGAATTATTATAAAAAGGTGAAACTAAGATATTATCTGTATTACCATAATTGATTATTCCTATTAAAAGTAAATATAATATATATATATATTAAATAGAAGCATTAGCAACAAAGAATCATGATATTATGTGTATTACATTAAAGAAAATATAGAAATTAGTCAAAAGTGGTTAAATGATAGGAGAAGCATTAGTACCTTATTATAGATAAATATTACCAGTTATGAATATGTATAAAAATAAAAGATGTATTTATATTATTATTATTATAGTAAATATTGGAGATAAAATTGATTATTCATAAAGAAAAAATGAAAATCTATCTGATCTTATATAAGAAACATTAGAAACACTTGAAAAAAATGGAGGAGAAGATGCATATATTAATATTAAATATATGATACCAACATATGAAAGTTGTATGTTTTGATCATATAATATTTCATATGCGATTTATTCAAATATTAATTAAAAATTATTGAAAACATCTAAGCCTGATAAATTTTGAAAATAAGATTATAGCATCCAAAATTTTTTTAAGTATTTTTTATTAAAAAAATATAAAATTAAAAATTAATATATTATTAAACTAATATGTTAAGATTGAAGGTAGAAAAATTTATGAATCAAAAAAGAAAGTTTGAAAGAGAACAGCAATTTTTCATTACTAGACAATAATATTTCAAGAAAATTGAAAATACTGACAATCATTTATTTTTGGAGGGGTTAGAGAAAGTAAATTTTGAATAAGCTGAGCAATATTACCAAAATTTTAGTGAAAACACATTTGAAATTATAAAGTCAGGCTTTATTTCTAAACTTTCTTACCTATTCATCTCAAATTAAAATTAAATTATGAAGTACTTCAACCTTCTCATACCTGCTCTTGTTATATTATGTAAAGAATCCTATTGTAAATTGATATAACAAGAACAAATTAAAGTTGTTCCTTTATTTTTTGAAGTTATTAAACTTCAAGATATAGAATTAATTGATTATGCTTTAAATGGATTAACTATGTTATCAAAATATAAATTTGCAAATTTTTATACTGAAGAGCTAATACTTTATTTAATAGAGTTAATAAATTTATAAGATTCAAATCTAAATGTAGCATAAATTTATTAATTGATTTCGAAATGGCCAAAAGATACATTATCCAACAAGATAATTGATTAATTGTTTAGTCCAAGATTTCAAACTTCAATAAAATTTTATTTATTTATAGATTCTTGTACAATTTTAAATTTTCTCTTCAAATTACTAGAAAAACATTTGGATTTGTTTTTTATTGTTGATAATTAATTTGTATAGATAATCTCAAGATTATGTGATTAATCTAATTATGAAAGAACTGTTTAAGTATTGTATTATATAGAATAGGTATTATATTTCATGAAACATTTTCTACTCTCTCAGAATTTAGGTCTTTCATAATGTATAGATTATAGTCCATTAATTCTAAGAGTTAAAACTATTTAATAAGCAGACAATTCACTTAATTTTTTAATTGATGAAATTTTAAAGCTATTAAACTTTTAGAGATCACCAAAAGAAATAAAATAAAAAATAGAAATTCTCAATGAAATATGAATTATTTACTAATTTAATTATTTAATAGTTTATAAAAAACTATAAATTAGAAAGCATTAGATTTATGAGATATCAATAATTTTGCTAATCATAAATTAATAGTGCTTGTTTGAAAATAAGAATATTTTATATATTTTATTAAGTATATTTGAATAATGTAGCATATTCACAAATGGATTGAAAGCAATTAAGATAAATAATCTTTTCCATCATCTAATTTGTCCAGGGCCTCTTCTATAAGATCATTTCTTATATAAATGATCATTTCATCTTGCTCTTTGCACTTCAGAATTTCAACTTATTGCATTTTAAGTAATTAAATGATAACAGTCTACAAAATGGCTTTTTTGTATTTAATTTATTTTACATTCTTTTTCATAAAGGAATATATCTATAATTCTAAGTGCTAATTCCCTCCTGACAAGTTAAAACAATGAAAATATATATGTGTCAAAACAATATTGTGATTTGACTTTTAATTCTTACATTTTATTATAAATTAGAGGAACTTCAAACTAAATTCGCTTATCAATAATTTCAATTATAGACATATCCATTAAAAATACTAAATAATAATAAGATAATGTTGTACCTTTTCTATAATTTTAGATATTTAAAATGTGATTTAAAACTACAAAGCATAATTCTTCTTATTCTAATTACTCAAGTATTGAAGATGCTATAAAATTCATTCCCTAAACATATTTAACTTCTTTATCTAAGTTTGAATATGCAATAAGAATCCTTTTCAATTTATCTAATTTTTGCTAATCAACTTTTTCTGATTCCTAATTTTTATTTATTTAGCTAGAATCAGATGAACCAGATAAACTTTTTTTATTACCTTTTGATCGAAAACTTCTGTGAAGATCTTTATATATTTATTGTTCTGATGGTGACTCAAATTATAGTTTCTGGTATAATAAATTTTTGATTCTAGCTTTTTCTGTAAGCCAAAACCAAACTTAACATCTTAGATCAAGAGGAAAATTATGTCTTAAATTATAACTTAATTCTGAATAGCCTTAATCTTCAAAAGATCTTTTCATAATTTCTATCCATCGTTCTTTCGTAAACTTTGGACATATTTCACTGTTTCGTTGTTTTGGTTTTGATTTTGATCTGTTAGGAGATTCACCCGTTTTTATTCTTTTTGAATTACAACACATTATCATTATAAATTTGTATTGACAAGAATTTAATATATAAAAAAATATTGCCTATTTTTTTCGATTGATATTTAATCAAATCAACTATTTTTTTATAATTTATTTAAATATATAGATTTCTTGATGTAAAATAATAGAAATCAAAATAATCAAAATAATTAGAATTACCAAGGAAAAAACAATAAGAAAAGAAGCAAAGGATAATAATAATAACATTAATAATAAAATTAATATTAATCTTCTAAGCAATCTACTTCATAATAATAATATCAATAATAACCTGTTCAATAATTATAGAGAAACACAAAAGGTAGAGAATTTAGAAGAATAAAACAGGAAAGGATTGAAAGAGCAAATTAAAGAAAATTAGAAAAATAAAATTAAGAATAATTTTTTACTTGGTTCTCCTCAATTTCAAACAATACTCCAACAATTCACTAGATTGTTTCTTACTTTTAAGATCTAGGAAATTTAGATAACTTAGAAAATATTTTTTCTAATTTAAGAATACATGCAAATTAATGTGAGTCTTATATGATTTTAATGAGAATTTTAGGAGAATCTCCATATTAAGAATATACAGATTTGATTCTTAGAAGCTAAAGTTTTAACACACAAATTACAGAGAAATGCACTTTACTTTTAATATATTAGAACTCTATTTAGTACATAAATTAAGAATTGGAAATAATGTACAAATTATTTTCGAATTTAAAACTTAATGATTATACAACTTTAAAGTAATCTAGTATCTCTAGTTTATATAACCTAATGAAAATCATAGATCTATATAATCCACAACTTTAACAATAAGCTAGTAAGACTCTTACAAATTTTGATCACTTTTTAAAAAAAATATATTCAACTGCTAAATTATTAGAATGGAAATAAACTCCTAATTACCCAATAGCATTAGAATTTTTCTCATATAATAAGACACCTAATTAATTATTTGGAAAATTGGAAATTCTTCCTAAAGAAAATATTACATTTGAAAGATATATTGATTATCATTATAACTTAATAAGAGAGGATTATATTTTAGAGTTAAGAGATGCAATTATTAGTTTAAATGAATCAGGATTTGAATGTATTGATAAAGAAAAAACAAATAACATAGGTTTATATTAAAATATTGAATTATTATCAGTGGGAATGAATAATTTTGATATAATTTGGAGGATTTAAGTTGAATAATTTAATATGGATGGCAGAAAATAAAAGCATATTAATTGGGCAAAATCAAAAAAACTAGCCTCTGGAACATTAATCTGTTTAACTAATATAGAATGTTATCCTTTAATTTTTGGAATTATAACAAAAAGAGATGAAAAATAATTTTAATATAAAAATGGAAAAATACAATTAGAATTTAGATTTCTTGATTAAAATACATCAGTTATGCAATTATTGAATTTATTTTCATAAAAAACAATACTAATGTAATATGAAGGTCTGATTGATCCAATACTTTACTATTTAGAAGCATTAAAATAAAAAGTGAGTTTGCCATTTTAAAAAATGATAATTGAAAATAAAAATGAAGTAAATTATCCTTCATATTTAAATAAAAATTATCATTTTGATCTAGATCTCTCATATAATAATAAATATTAAGGGATTAAATTTAATATATTTTAACAACCATGGCCTTAATTCAATACTTCAATGGATTAATCCTAAGTAAGTGCAATTAAATTAATGCTTCAAAAAGAAGTGGCTTTAATTTAAGGTCCTCCAGGAACAGGTAAAACATATTGTGGAGCTCTTGCTGTAAGATTATTATATGAAAATTTGCAGAAAAATGATTTTCCTATATTAATAGTTTGTTATACAAATCATGCTTTGGATTAATTTCTTGAGCATATTTTAAAATTTGTTCCAATTGAATAAGTGGCAAGATTGGGTGGAGCTTCCAAAAACCCATTATTAGAATAATGTCAAATTAAATCTAGATAGAAAGTTGAATTTGAGTTTAGAGATTTCAATAAGTTGAAGAAGGAGATAAGTACAATAATTCAAAGAATGTTAAATTATGACTATAAAATAAGACCATAAGATATTGAAAAATATTGGCCAGAGCTTTACAATTCAATAATATCAAATTTTTTTTAGGATAATGATTTAGATCAAGATTATTATATTGAGGAGAATGGAGATGAATTATTAGTGAAATATTGGATTAATTAATAAAAGCCTGAAGAAAATGTAATTGTAAAAGGTTATTTAAATGGAATGCATAAATATTTTAAAATGGAATAGTTCTATAAAAAACCTTAAGAATTTGTAAACTTATAAAAAACTCCTGGTTTAATATAAGTATAACATGATAGTTCAGATGATGATTTGGATGAATATTTAGATTCAGAAGATGAAGCAATTTATCATTAAAATGGATAGAGGGAATTTAAGTTTGATTCACTTGGTATAGATTAGGCTATTAAACATTTTAATGAAACTCATTAGAATTAAAATTTATTACATTATTAATATTAGACGATTGAAAATATAAAAGGTTATCTTAATATGTAAAAAAGTAATCCTTGGAAATTAAATGAAATTGATATTAAAGAAATATTAATATATTTAGAATGTCTTAAATATTAGAATGATAGCATTAAATTTGCTAAGTTATATAAATAATTTATTGAATAATCTAATATACTTAAAGATTTATATGATGAAAATGAAGTTCAAATATTAAATAGTATGAAAATTGTTGGTGTAACAGTAACAGGTGTAGCTAAATAAACAAATAAATTATAAAAATTAAATTCTAAAATTATGGTTATTGAAGAGGCTGCAGAAGTTTTAGAATCTCATGTAGCAAGTATTTTGACTTCAAATTTATAACATTTAATTTTAATTGGAGATCATTATTAATTAAAACCATCAATAAAAAATTATTATTTATAAGAGAAATTTAAAGCAAATGTCTCATTATTTGAAAGATTATTTTTGAATAAAATCCCAAGTGTTACATTGACTTAATAAAGAAGAATGAAAACTAAGTTTGCAGATTTTATACGTTTAATTTATGGGGAATCTTATTAAGATCATCCAGATATTTAGAAATAAAATTAAATTGAAATTCAAGGTTTAGAGAAAGATCTAGTTTTTTTTAATCATAAATGGCTTGAGGCCTAAGATGAAAAATCGAAAGAAAATAAATAAGAAGCTTAAATGATTTTTTAAATGATACAATATCTTTTAAAATGTGGTCATTAATAAACTTCAATCAGTGTTCTTTCATTATATTTAAAATAGGCCTAAGCTTTAAAAAGATAATTCTAAAATGCTGGGTAACACAAAATTAAAGTATAAACAGTTGATAATTATTAAGGAGAAGAAAATGATATTGTGATAATATCTTTAGTGAGAAATAATAATTATAATAATTTAGGATATATAAAAATAGATAATAGAATTAATGTAGCATTATCAAGAGCAAGATTAGGTTTATATGTATTTGGAAATTTTGATTTTATTTTCAATGCTTCAACTCCTGGTAGTACATGGTAAAAAATGATACTATTGGCTAAGAGTAAGAATTGTTTGAATGATTATATAAACACAAAATGTATACCTCATGGAAACTTGTAAACAATAAAATAACCAGGAGATTGGAGTAAAATTAAACCTAAACTTTGTAATAAAAAATGTTTGAAGAATTATTCAAATTGTAATCATTTATGCAATAAGGATTGTCATATTAGTGATATTCATCCAGCAGATTCTTGTCCATTTTAATGTGATAGAATAATTGATTGTGGACATAAATGTAAATTACAATGTAGAGATAGATGTAAATGCAATGAAATGATTGATTTAAATTTACCTTGTAATCACAAAGTAAGGGCACTTTGTGGTACAGATCCATTAAGTTAAAAATGCTAAGAAAAACAAGAAATTTAATTTTCTAAATGCACTCATATAACAAAGTTTATATGTTATGAAAGAGAGAAATATCTATATAAATGTTAATAAATATGCCAAAAGAAACTTTTATGTGGTCATATTTGTAATAAAATATGTTCAGTTGATTGTGGAATTTGTGTATAAGAATGTATAAAGGTACGTCCATGTGGACATCAGAATAAATGCAAAAATTTATGTTTTTAAGATTGTTCCCCTTGTGATACTCCAGTTGAAAATAAATTAAAATGTGGACATAAAACAAAATTTCCTTGTTTTTCTTAAAAATAAGACATATTAACATATAATTGTTAAGAACCATGTATAAAAAAGAGATAATGTGGTCATGACGAATAAATATGTCAGAATAAATGTCATGAATAATGCTCTCCTTGTTAAAAGTTGGTCTCAAGAAAATTAAAATGTGGACATGAAATAGACTTGAGATGCCATGATGCTGATCTTATTGTTTAAAATTTTAAATGCTTATCAAAATGTCAAAAACCAAGATAATGTGGACATAATTATGTATGTAATAATTAGTGTCATTAAAAATGTTCGCCTTGTTTATAAAAGATAGTAAAAAAACTTACCTGTGGTCATTAAATTGAAATAGAATGTTGTAAAGTTAATGAAGTATAATAGTGTAAATAAGAGTGTATAAAACCAAGGGTATGTAAACATGTTTAATAATGTAAAAATTTATGTTTTGAATAATGTTCCCCTTGTGAATAAGTAATTGAACATACTTTCTAATGTAGTCATAAACATAATTTTTATTGTCATTCATATAAAAAGTCAATTAATAATTTCAATTGTAATGAACCTTGTCTATTAAAAAGATCATGTGGACATACATCTCCATGTTTATCAAAATGTTATTAAAAGAAATGTTCTCCTTGTTTAGAATTGATAAAAAAAAAACTTGATTGTGGTCATATTATATAATTAAAGTGTTATGAATAAAATGAAAAGTAAAAATGCCATGAACCTTGCAATAGAATTAGAAATTGTGGTCATATCTTTCCATGTAAAAGATTATGCTTTGAAACATGTGAACCTTGTTAATAGGATGTTCTTAAGCCTTTAGA